ACTACCACCCCCCAGTCATCCTATCGACCCACCTACTACCACCCCCCAGTCATCTATCGACCCACCTACTACCACCCCCCAGTCACCTATCGACCCACCTACTACCACCCCCCAGTCATCTATCGACCCACCTACTACCACCCCCCAGTCACCTATCGTTTGCCTTGCACCCGCTTTGTGCCTTGCACTGCGCAGAATCGTTCTGTCGAGTTTAACGAACAACATGAGCGCAACTGAATTCCAACCCACAGCCACCACCAATGGCTTCACTGTGGGTACACAGGTAATTGCCAGTCATGTCTAGTAGACTGTATGTGTACTACTATCTATTAGACTGTGTAGGTAATAGCCAGTGATGTCTATTAGACTGTGTAGGTAATAGCCAGCGATGTCTATTAGACTGTGTAGGTAATAGCCAGTGATGTCTATTAGACTGTGTAGGTAAAAGCCAGTGATGGCTATTAGACTGTGTAGGTAATAGACAGTGGTGTCTATTAAACTGTGTAGGTAATAGCCAGTGATGTCTATTAGACTGTGTAGGTAATAGCCAGTGGTGTCTATTAGACTGTGTAGGTTATAGCCAGTGATGTCTATTACACTGTGTGTGTACTACTATCTATTAGACTGTGTAGGTAATAGCCAGTGATGTCTACTGTGTACGTAATAGTCAGTGGTGTCTATTAGACTGTGTAGGTAATAGCCAGTGGTGTCTATTAGACTGTGTAGGTAATAGCCAGTGATGTCTGTTAGACTGTGTGTGTACTACTATCTATTAGACTGTGTAGGTAATAGCCAGTGATGCCTATTACACTGTGTGTGTACTACTATCTATTAGACTGTGTAGGTAATAGCCAGTGGTGTCGATTAGACTGTGTAGGTAATAGCGAGTGCTGTCTATTGGTTCGTGTAGGTAGTAGCCAGTGATGTCTATTACACTGTGTGTGTGGTACTACGTGTGAGACTACTAGTGTACTACGACGTGACTGATTTAGATTCCTCCCATCGTGTTCTATTGAAACGTTGTAGCCAGTGCTTGGTGTAACTCCGTGCAGCGCTGACTGGTAGTTTGACTTTAAAAGCACGTTTACTGCAGGTTTTTGGGGTTTTATTTTCAAGAATTTTTTTGTTTTCTTTTTCGCTTATGGCCCAATATATAGAAAGCGTACTTCAGCCATCCAATCACACTGAGCTTCGTAGGCGGAACTGAACCAGCTATTGGGACTTCCATAGGTATGTTTCGGTTGAGGGGTAGTATTCGATTGGGTGTGTAAGGTAGTAGTCGATTGGGTTTGTAGGGTTGTATGCGATTGGGTTTGTCTGTGTGTTGTTATATTGAGTCCGATGGTTCTTAGTGTCCATCAGAGCATGCGTATGCCGTACACTTCGAGTGTGGTTGATGCAAGTTACCTACCTAAGGCTTAATCAGGATGAATGGGGGAGGGCTGTTGTATGAGGTTCTTTCGGGTGCCGAGGATCTTACTGTCTTTTGTTCGACCCATTTCGCAGGTATGACACTTACAGTCAACTTTTTAGTTGAATTCGATACCACCTCGAGTCGCCGCAGACGCAGAATAATGAACTCTGGCCAGACGGTATGTCGTCTGTCGGTGGGAAGGCTTGCTGTTCAGTTACCAGGCAGCTCAGTTGGCTGTTAGAAAGACGTAGACTTGGGGACCTGTCTTTGTAATATCGTGTTATTTAGACTCATTCTGTATAAGGTATCTTTGCATGCAAGCATGTGTGTATGTCTGAGTGGTGTGTCATCTATTTATTTAGACCCATTCCGTATAAGGTAACTTTACATGCAAGTATGTGTGTATGTCTGAGTGGTAAGTCATCTATGAGTGTGCTGTTTCTGTATGTGTAGGGCCGATTTGTCCATTCGGCGCATCTAATCAGTGCGTCTCCGACTGTCTGCCTACGTCTTTCTGTATTTTTCAATTTGGTTTATTGTATATTTTTTAACTTGGTTCATACAATTCACCAAAACTTAGCCTTCCGATATCTGTTCAGATAACCGTCACCTGTAGGTTGTTCCCCTTGACCAAACAATCGCATGAACTCTGCCCGAATGCCTTCCTGATTCGTATATGTGCGTGCAGCTATCACGAGAAACGTCCGCCGCATAACGTCGACTGATTGTGTCTGCATGCTAACTCTCCCACTCCGAGTACACACAGCTGTATAGTTGCTTCCGATTGCGATACGATACGCAACGCAACGCAACGCAACCACTCTGACCAACCCAAAGGTGATTCCAGTCGCTTACACATTTACACAAACAGTACCCTCTCCCCCCCCACCACCACCAGACCATGACCTCATGCGTGGCTACTATCATTCATCCATGCATTCGTACCTCTGCCGCCTACGCACAGCTATCGCAAGTTACAACCGTCACCATCCTGCCGCGCGCCTCAAGCCGTGAAGTCGATGGGGTGCAGGTACTAGAGGATGTATCGAATACCTCTGCCACCACCGAAAACCCCGGCTCTCACAGTCCGTTGACCGATAAGCAGGCCGCGGGTCTGCTATTGGTAGCCGTGGCTGTGCTGATATCACTTTTATTCTGCACCATGGCGGTCATGGCCATTGTGCGACTCATCCGGTAAGTAGTTTTTTTGTTCATCCGGTAGGTAGTTTTTTTGTTCATCCGGTAGATAGCTTTTTGACCATCCGGTAGGTAGCTTTTTGTCCATCCGGTAGATAGCTTTTTGTCCATCCGGTAGGTAGCTTTTTGTCCATCCGGTAGGTAGCTTTTTGTTCATCCGGTAGGTAGCTTTTGTCCATCCGGTAGGTAGTTTTTGTCCATCCGGTATGTAGTTTTTTTTTCACGTGTTATCAGTACGAGGCTTGTGGGTAATATAAGTCGCTTCACACAGTGCGACGCCATTTCTTTTTGTGTATGGTCACGTAAAACGCTATATGGAGAGGCATATGAGTGCAATATGCTTCTTGGTTTTGTATTGTTTCTTGGGAGGGGGGCCTTCGAAACTTTTAGGGTTTCAGGGTTTTAGATTGACTCTGTAAGTGTTGCCTTAATCCCCAGGTACAGACGCACTTTCAACTTAACCCAAGATCAGAATCTGATTCTCTACGGCCCAACCGACACCACGGCTGCCATAATCGACAGACTTTCGCGTGTGTGGACTGTGGCTGATGCTGGTGATACGGTACACGACAGTGCGTGTGCAATGAATGAGCAACACAGGGATAGGAATGCAAGGGGCACCGATGGGAATGTGCAAAGCAAATTCCGGAGTGAACAGAGCCGTGATTGGGAAAATGAGAAAGGTGTCGAGTGTATATACCCGTTCATCCCAGAGAGTTTATCCGAAGGCAGGGGTGTCCTAGCCACCATAGCCGACTCAGACAACCCGCCTGCAGCTGGCCACCGCAATGCGAGTGCGCCATTGAATATAAAGCCAAAGAAGGAGGGGCACGTAGTGCCCGAACAGTTCAACGAGGTGGCGGCTATAGACGTGGACGATATGACGGATAAGAATGGGTAGTGCAGGTGCTAGCACACGCCCAACATAACACGTGGGAGAGACATGGGGAGACTGTTATTTTTTTGAATATGGCAGGGCCATACATTTTTGTTCACCAAAACCAATGGGAACGCTTGGTGATTGACTAGTAGGCGCTTGTTAACCAATGGGAACGCTTGATGATTGATTAGTAGACGCTTGTTAACCAATGGGAACGCTTGATGATTGACTAGTAGACGCTTGTTAACCAATGGGAACGCTTGATGATTGACTAGTAGACGCTTGTTAACCAATGGGAACGCTTGATGATTGACTAGTAGACGCTTGTTAACCAATGGGATCGCTTGATGATTGACTAGTAGACGCTTGTTAGCCAATGGGATCGCTTGATGATTGACTAGTAGACGCTTGTT